GTTGCTGGACCTGGACCTGGCGGTGACCTTGGAAAGTAAGGCAAGGTCACGTGGTGGTTACCTTGGGAATTAGATCAAGGTGAAAGTCAAGTGACACGTGGCGGTGACCTTGGGAATTAGGTTAGGGTGAGAGTTGCGTGACACGTGGCCGGTGACCTTAGAAATTAGGTCAAGGTGACAGTCGTGTGCCACGTGGGCAGTGACCTAGGACATTAGGTCAAGGTGCAAGTCAATGGCAAGCTGTAGTTGGGGTGTAAAATTACATTTACAAGGTCAATGACCCTAATTGTGTTGTCAAATAACATTTTCCATGTTATCAGAGACCATTGACTCAATCAATTTTCAAGGTCATCCGAAAGCGTTGAGCCCATTTTGTGGTGTCAATTTACATTCCTAAGGTCATCCGAGAGCATTGACCCTACTTTTGTGGTGTCAATTGCATTATCAAGGTCATCAGAGTTCATTTAACCTTGAAATTATCAAGGACGTCCTAGGGTGTTGATCCAATAAATTTCCAAGGCCATTTGAGGTCATTGACCCCATACATTTCCAAGGTCATTGGCCTCACAAATTATCAAGATCGTCCGAGTGCACTGACCCCATAAATTTTCTAGGTTATCCCAGGGCATTTGCCCCATTTTTTTGTAGTGTCTAATTAGATTTTCAAGTTCATGCAAGGTCATTGGCCCAATACATTTTCAAGGCCATGCGAGGTCGTTGGCCCCGTTTTGTGGTATCAAATTAGATTTTGAAGGTCATCAGGGGTCATTGACTCCATAACATTTTCAGGGCCATCCAAGGTTAATGACCCAATGTTTAACCGTTAATGGCCTTCAATGGTGCATATAAGAAGCTGCAGAGCAGTTTATTGTCACTTGCGGTTCCCTTCTTTGAAATAGGTAAAAAAGCGTGGAGGTAATATGCATTTAAAATCATGAGAATCTATTATTATCCGTTCTCCGTACTTGGTATTAATCGCATCGATTTCCAACACTGTAGTTTATCGGTTTATCAAGTTCACTAGGATTTTTAAACGGTTTGTACAACGTATTACTGTTTAAATCGGAGAAATCCATATTTAATTCAAGGCCCCGACTGACTAAATTATCATGTACACCGACGCGCTTTATATGGTAATAATGTGACCTTGAACTCGCCTCTAGAATATAAAAAACTATTAGGATTCACGGAAACTTGAAGTGACCTTTGATCGATACCTTGACGATTACTACCAGGGGAGGGCACGGAGCGAGTGTCCTTTGGACTTTACCTTGACCTACTTTCCAAGGTCACCGAAAGATTACTAACAGAGAACAACACCCTGAAGAATGGGGTCAATGTCCTAGAATGACTTTGAGAATGTAGGCCAATGACAGGATTACCTTGAAATTATATGAGGTCAATGACCTAGGGTGACCTAAAAAATATAATTTGACAAATGGGGCAAATGCCCTCGGATGACCTTGAACATTTGTGGGGTCGGTAACCTCGGATGACCTTGAAAATTAATGTGGTCAATGACCTCGTATGACATTGGAAATGTAATTTGATGCCCCACAAATGGGGCCAATGACCTCGGATGTCCTTGAAACTTAATGGGGTCAATGTCCTTTGATGTCAGTCATTTCTCACCTTGACCTAATTTCCAAAGTTACCGCCCGCGTGTCACTCAACTCTCACCTTGACTTAATTCCCAAGGTCACCACCACGTGACCTTGTTCTACTTTCCAAGGTCACGATTTTTCTTTTATTTATTGGGAATGATATTTGAAAAGATAAAAAAATTAAAACATACTATTTGCCACTATTTAAGCTCTTCAAGACACCGTTGAGAGATTTGTAATATAATGTTTCGTTTCTGAGAAATCATTATCAACTCTATTTTTTATATGGGCCGTAAAAAGGTATAAACTGTATTGAGTAACATTTTCTATTACGAATACAACGATGTACGGCAGACAAAAAAAACCAAATTTGGAAACTATTGGCATCGAATTGATAGTTATAAATTCAATGTTATTGGTTTCAACATGATGGTGCACCCGCGCGCAACGCCCTAATCATGCGAGAAAACCTATATGGCAAATTTTCTGGAATAAGGAAAAATTCGTTATATGATTTCCGAAGTGCCTACGATGGCATCCTTATCTTGGATACAGTGCGTACTAATCACAAAGCACTTAAAAGTTCTTAAAGTTTGGATATTGGAACTGCTAATAAACTTTGCTGTTTGAATCTTCAAGCTTAAATCCTGAACCCCCATCTTGAAGACTCAGTCTTGTATCTAGATCCTTGATGCTCCAATCTTACAATTTGAATCTTGAAAAATATACCTATATCTAGGATTGTAGCTTCTATACTGAAGGTTGAACCTTGAAGCTTCCGACTGAAATTCAATCTTGAGCCAATTTTGAAGCGTAATTTCTGGAATTTACAAATATAGTACGAATCTTGAAAGTAGTAGTTTGTTTGTGTATCAAAACTTGACCCCTGTTACAATAGTATATTAAGATACAAGTGTATAATCAAGTCTTTAAAGCACGCGCAACGAGTTTAAGGGCACGACGCAAAGCGGAGTGCCTTTAACGTTGCAAGTGCTTTAAAGACCAATTATACACGTGTATCTTATAGTATTTTTTATTATACCTGCAGTATAATTTAAAAATAGGAAATACAATGAAGTCATATTGACGTTATACTCGAATACATGTCTAATTAAGTGGGCTGGGTGTTCGTAATTTCACGATTGCCATGGAAATGTCACTTGACGTTTGCTTATAAAAATCATCGTCTTTGTGAATTAAACGATTTCTGTTGAAAAAGATAATACACTGCCCATTCAATCGATTGTTGTAAAATCTAAACAAACGTTGGTTGGTGTAAAATCCAACTCCAGTAAAGCCTATTATAAAGAATATGAAAAGTTGTTTCCATGGATGAATAGGAAGTTACTTACGAATACAGTCTTAAATGCATCTATAATGCTGGCATATATGAAGGAAATGTCAAAGGTATTTAAATCTTCTATATTTTGGTGCATTCATTCAAAACTTTAAAGCAATGCTGCGATTAAAAAGCGGAACAGATTTGGAAGCATACCCTAAATTACGCGCGTTTGTGAAAGCTTCAACCAAAGGATAGTACAAAAGCCAAAGAAATGTTCTGCATTTACAGAAAGCAACCTACGAGGATTTTTTATTTCATCCAGATGACAGTTTCAAAAGTCATACTTGAAGTATCGTTACTTAGCAACTTTAAAGCACGTGTGTTTTAAAGGCCCTTTTTCGCACGCATTTGAGTGTTTAAAACGGAGATTGTGATTCAGGTATAATAAAAAATATTATTTTTCTACTCCTATGTCGTAAACATACCCAAAATGTCACCCTGTACTGCACATCTAAATCGTTCATTATATCATACGGTTGCATAATGAAAATTAGAACTGTTACTTAATATATATATATTACGTAACAGGTTAAAGGTCAAACGCGAAATGTTAATTTAGTAGGTTGTCAGCCCTGCCTAATGAATGAAGTAACGTCAGATTTTGTTGTTGTAGGTTATGTTTCACATTTTGTAAACTACTTTGAACAGAATTACCTATAATTTGTTTAAACATTGCCATTTGTATGAGAATGGAGCCTGTATGTAATTTATTAGCCGTGCCCAATTATTTTTCATAATCGTAATGGGCTACTCAAGAATGGTTTGAAGCTGCGTTTAGCTAATTAAGCAAACTCTGTTACTACTATTTTGTATTTTAGAAAACTACAATAAGTACTCCAAGAATTAATGGATGGTGCCAATTACGACTTGCATGGAACACGGAATAATGCACTTTAGAACACTGGGTAGTCCGCTGCTTCCTTCCCTGGAAAACTCGTTAAAAGACGCAGCGTTTTGAAGGCCTTAGTATTATCGATAGTTAGGTACCTAATACATTGTCAACTGCAACAATAGAAATCGTTCAAAACTGTAATGAAAAAGAGCACAAACACCACCTGAGCTAGTTAGGTAGTAATCTTCAACTTCAACACTTGTATCTTGTATCCTATTGGCTATTGCATCTATGGTGCTAAAATAAAACTCACATTGCAGTAAGGAATAGGGATGTAAAAACCCTGCAATACACTTCCAATCTAAGTAAAAAGTATTTATAAAATTCTTGCTCGCTGGCGTGCATTCATGGAATATAAGTGAGGTTACCTTGTATTTTGTATTCCTTTTAAATAGACCATGACATTTGACACTTGACAGTTCTAATTTTTAGTTCGAAGTTCGAATATTTAGAACCAAATCAATCGTAATCTATCAATCTTTTATCAATTATATTCAAGTCGTAGAAAAAGTATAGTACATAATTCGAGTGCTAATGCCTATTACGCACTCGATTTTATTACAACACTCGCTCGCTGCGCTCGCTCGTGTCGCAAAATACTCGTGCGAAATAGGCTTGTTAGCACACTTATTATGCAATATACTATTTCAATGCACTCCGGTTTTTGCGAATCACTCATTTGCCCATCTCTTAAAGGCCATACATTTAATTTGGAATTTCTGAATATGACATACATAATACAAAGTAAGTTATAATCAATGAGCTGTCGTCCCTCCACGGGGTTGCTGTTTATGTCTAAAGTTGTGACCCTTCTTTGAAACTGCGATTTATCTCGCCAACAGTAACTGTATTGTCCGCAGTTATATGGAACGCTTGGTCTTGTGATATAGGTAGTCGAAATGAATAGATACCGGGTCTTAAGAGATCATTTTTAAAAATTATTAATGATTGAATACTTATTTTTATTGTCGATATTTCATTGGAAAAACAACAAATTAGACTTAAAATTTATATTCTGTTGGAGTAACATATGAGTAACAGTTCAACAGAAAACCGAGTTCATTGATCACAATTAATGAAAAGCTCGGTTTCGAACCCTCCATCACGCCGTATCAGTGATCCTCGAGGGTACAGAAAACTCGATTAGAATAAAAACACTTACCGGGTAATTCCGAAGCGGGCGATTTGGGATTAATATGACGGCTTCCACCATAATCGTCCAATTCATTCTCGTTCGTCCACGAATGTAAACTCGACGCAGTAATTTCCAGAAGACCAATAGTAATAAACCATACAAACGGCAAACAGGAGGTCCTCATGTTTCTGAAATGGAACTTTACTATTAGCAAGTGAGATTTATCTGCGATATAGAGCAGCGTGTATATGGATTTACACTTTTCAGGGGGTTAGTGCAAGAGAATCTGGCGTGTAAATGTGCAACTCAAATGTAAGATTCTCACGTCGTCACACGAATATTCATAAAAGTGTCACGTCGAGGAAAGAATTGCAAAATTGTGTTGGAGTATTATGAGAACAAGTTGCTAAAATTTTATGGAGAGAACTTTATTTCTACCGTATCTGGAGTTACTAAAATAAAACGTTTTCAAAGTCTATCATTCAAATAACATAAAACTCGGTATCGCTGATCAATATACGTTTACAAACCGTTTAGCATTTTCATTAGCATTTTAATGGTTGAGAAGCAGTAAAATTTTCTTAGGGCATTTACTTTTGCCTTGAAATGTCTCTGATAAAACACGAGTCAGCCATATAACGGACTGTTTTTGGCATCCAAGAGAATCGGCAAAAAAAACCTCATGTAGGTCGGATATGATGTTCTAGTCATAAGAAATATCTTTTTTCTAGGAATAAGTCTCCCCCCCTGCTTTAGTTTCTCTGAACCAATAATTTCACTTTCTCCATCAACCTATTTTTATTAATCTCTATGGTGACCGTTTGCGTTTAGCATTAACCTAAACTGTAAACCCATATTCAAGAACTTATCTATCCCTTCACTATTCTCCAACTTTTACTCAATTCCTTAAAAACCCGCGGGCTTCTGGATTTAAAATTTTAATGATAATAATAATATTCCCGCTGTTTATGACCATTGTAACAGGGTGGGGATATCCCTGATTGTTTTTACTTTTACGGCAATGTTAGATTCTATTTCCCAAAATGTATCCACGGCTAGCTCAACTTTACTAAAATGTTCTGCTAAAATTTACAAAGGCACATGATCATTTCCAGAACAAAAAATGATTAACTTGTCGCTTATTCTAGAGCTATTGAGCTACAAAACCGGAGGTCGGGTGTTCCAGCCTTGGCTGAGGTAGGAATTTTTCATCTGTGGCAGAGATGAAAATTTCCTTAGATCAGTTTCGACCGTTTTAATTTTAATTTTTGCGGGGTGGTTTTTTTTCTGGTTTAATTTCCCGTGTTCGCGAAACTTTCTCCCGTTAGAATACTGATATTCGGTGATAACTTATTTGAAACATAAACCCCTAAATCCTTCACCGCGATTTGGTTAATTTATTCACTATTTTACGTGCGATTGTTGTCTTCGGTCGATTGCATTAGGAGCTCACACGTGATTTTTCATTGGGATATCCTTTTTGACTCCGCGCTCGACGGTTTACCCCGGACAATCCGCAAACATAACTATGTTTAACCACGCAGTTGACACTCTGGTTGTCGAGAACCGAATACCCTACTACAATTCGTTCTGGACTAATCCCTACTCCTCTTTTTAAACTTTTATTACGCCCAAAATAGCGTTAATCAGTTAACGAGAGGTAATCTGATTTACTTAGAACTACAAATTACATGGGCGTTAAGGCCATCAATCATATCCACGGTCGTTTTTAAAACTGCAATTCTCATGATGAACCCGCGTGATGTCATGCTGAGTCATCCTGATTTGGCCGTTCTGATACGTAAAACCCATTAATTTACTTATCGACTGATAATGCCCGTCCGACTGTCGTCAGTAACTTTCCCATGTGATTAACCGATTACTACGCATCCGGAAGTCAGCGACTCATAAAATATAAATCGAAAATTTTATTAACAGATGAAAAAATTGAAAAATAATAAAAATTTTGGATTAACTAACCTTCTTAAGGGATTAATATTAATATAACTATTAAAACTTAGCTACCGTGCATAAGACTCAACAAAAATCAACCGCATACAAGGGCGCCCACTACAGCACTTACTAGGTTACTTAATTTAGCGTCTTTTTGAGGATAGAGGTGAGAGCATAGGGGTGAGGGGGATGGAATCCCCCCCCCCCCCCAGGAGATTTAATGACACTTTCACGAAAGCAACCATTATGGCAGTTTTGGGGATAAGGCAATAAATTCCATATTCTATACCAGCCTTTTCTCAGTGCTTTTCTCAAAATTAAAAAGGTTCTTTTCTTTCGGCCTTGCGTGGTGTTGAAGTGAAGGTTTGTAGGGTGAGTAGGCTCAAAAATCAGACTTCGTTTAGTTTTTTTAATTGGTAATCCAAATATTTCGGACGCAGTTTGCTGTCCTTCCTCAGTGGGACCCTCAAAATATTCAAAGCCTTCAGGATCCTAACGATGTTTTTTCCAAAAAGACGTTACCGTATCATTCTCTACTGGACGGTACCCCACACCCAATATCCTCCGGTGCTGAACTTTCCCTGAAAATGTTCAAACATTTTGGGGACGGGCGTTGTATTGGGCGCTCTGAGAGGTATGGAATACTCCCCAGGAAAGGGAAATTTAATGACACGTTCTCTAAAGCAACTGTCATGGTAGTTTTGGGGATAAGGTAATCAATTCCATATTCCATACCCCCAAGACCCCCTGGTGCTTCGCTTTACATCGAAATGTTCAAATCACTCAGGGTTTTCCAAGATGGAGCTACTGCATTATTCCTTGCTAATAGGTGTCGCGAAGACATTTCTATCTGGATAGTAGACAGAACCTCCACTACATATTCTCCGAAACGAAGAGGACGAGGAGGTCTCAACAAAGAATAAAAGCCACAAGTTTCGCCGAGACGCTGTCATTAGAAGAGTTAAAATTTTAAACGTAAATATTTATTTATTAGTTATTGTCTCTGTTTTCTGGCCCTCAACAGACCTGTGCCCAATTACCCGCATCATGCTTTTTAGAGGTGTCCCTAGAGAAGGTCTTGAGTTGTTCTATACTACTCCGGTATTTACCTTACGAACTAGAAAAACTACAGAAAGCCTAATTCGGAGTAGCCGGCAGGATGCTGATCTAAGGAAGTTTCCATCTCTGTCCCAGGTGAAAAATTCTTTCCTCGGCCCAGGTTCGAACACCCGACATCCCAGGTATGTTGCCCAACGCTCTACCACTGAGACACATAGCTAATATGTATGTAACGCAATGTTGGTGGTGGGTACTTACAAAAGAAAAATCGTAGGTCTTTTCGAGGAGCATTTAAAGGTGCGTCTTCCGGTTCAAGCGGAATAATCCACGACCGAGATCTCTTAAAACTCGGCGAGACGTTTCCACTGGAAGGGTCCAAACGAGTATCTTTCTAACGGGACGCCGAAGTGGGTATTCACAACGAGACAATAATACATTTCGACGAGACGTTTGGAAAGATCAAAACTTTTAACTTCCTAAGCTTAATCTTTAGGTTTGGTATATCTAGTGTCACAAGGGGAGCCCATATCGATCATTTATAACTATAAGTATCTGTAATGAAGCTTTTTGAGTTATTTTGTAATGTAACCATTTTATTTCTTTGTATGATAAATAAAATTGAAGCCATGTACATAATTTGTAATAATAATAACCCTGTATTAAGCAGTTATTTGTATTTCATTTTTTACATTTTGATTTTTTTAAACCTTGCTCATTATAATGCAACGTAAGTGTAATTACAATTAATTAACAGTAAATTTATAATAATTTTAAAATGATTTGATTTATAACAATTAAAATATTATTTATTACTCATATATACATAATTTATAACAGCGCCAACTATTTATTAGTTCGGCGTTGAAATGTGAACTGCCCTGAAACGCTATTAGATTTGCTTATGTAGCAAACGCCTCTCTTTCTCGAAAGTTCTCGAACGCTTCCGAACGTTCCCAAGTGTCCTAGAATGTTCTCGCACAAACACGTCATATTTCCCGGAAAGAAATCGTCACATTCGTTTTCGTTTCTTATCGCCGATGACACACATCATGCCACAACAGAAATGAGAACAGGATTTTCATGAAAAATTAGTAGATGCAGCTAATGGAATGTCATTTGGCTTAGGTCCTTACGTGTTCCTATGCAGGGACTGAAGGGATCGGTTCGCCAGTCCCTGCAGCAATTCTAGAAGATTAGGAAAAGCGAAACGTTTTTGTACAACTACTAATGTAATAATGTCATACGACGCAGCCATTATAAAATATGTACTGCATATCTCATCCCAACATTTCTGAATGCCTTTGGCATTTGATATTGCACAAATGTTGACAATTCAGTGAATTTGTGGCATATTTCAATCACATGGAAAATATGCAATATAGCAATGCTATTCAAATCGAAATGTACGAGCAAATAACTTTAGCGACGCATCGACAATTTACGATCGGTAACTGCGGCTTCTATCAAATATCAGTTCATTCAGAACATTTCTCAATAAATTCTCGTTGAACATAGTATTGAGGCAACAAGAGGATTATTAATAGTTACTGTTGAGGTCTGATGTGAAACCAAACAAAGGCAACACTACAACGAGCGATTAAAATTACTATATTCCCGTTTCCCGGCCTCTAGTGTCATTCTGCAATTTCCAGTTTCAATATAAGGTTGCGGTAAAATAGTAGTATAAATGAAAAGAGTCACGTTTCCGTTGGGTTTATAGCTGGTTATGACGATACAGGAGTTCGTTTAAAATGAACTTTCTACAGCAAAGATGATTTTTTTCTAAAATAAATCGTACCTTGGCGAGTACTGAAGGTATACCTCTATTTAACCCTTAATAGCAATAAGAAATATGGTGAAATTATCTAAAAAATACGTCACAGGAGTCATTTATAGGAATATTCTCACTTTACCTAAGAAATTAGATTCAAGGGAAGGAACAAACCAAAACTTCTTGAGTCCAAACATAAGTATTTAATATTACAATGAGGCTCCATTCAGTAAATTTTTAAAGATAGATTCCTTTAAGTATTTCAGATTTCTTTCGATAAAACGCAATTTCTCAAAGAGAACCGATCGTTATTTTGTGTACAAATAAAAAAGTTACACTATTTCAATTATAGCGGAATCGATGGTTTTCCTATGGTACAAATGGATATGGTACTTTTCGAAAGAATGATACCTTCAAGCTGGACAA